TCCGCCTTGTGGGCAGGATCCAAGTAAAGGGATTTTTGGCATCAAAAGAAGACCCTGAGCATTGAAACCTGAGTTCGACCAGTTCGACCAGTTTGGTCAGAACTCGGGGGAGTTCGGCGGCTCACCGGAGCCGGCCCATCGGGGCAGTTCGTCTGGAATTCAGCTGAGTTCGGTCGGCTCAGGAGCGAGCTGCGACCGGCGGGTCAGCTCAGCTCTGCTCCGACCTCATCATCAGCAAGGGCTAAGAGCAGCTCGGCTCATCAGCCAGAGGGGCTTCTACCAGCTCGGCATCTGCCAGCAGGGCAGAATGCGCCGTCAACCACAGAGCGCCTTCAACCACAGAGCGCCGTCAACCACAGCGCCGTCCGCCGCCGAGTGCCATCAGCCACCAGAGAGCAGCGCAGCCATCCAGCAGTGAAGAGGATCTGCTGCTGCTCCCCGTGCTGCTGTGCGTGTCCGAGCTGCACCAGGAGTGGGCAGCGTGCCAACTCTTCCCCCCAGACGTGGACAGAGGCTGGCTGCCGTGTGGAGGAGTGCGGCGATACGTATGATGCACCCCACGCACCCTCACCGCTCTAAAGGGAGCGAGTATACTTTTCCTACAAGGGATGCCAACGTCGGCGTATGTTAACGCAAGAAGACCAACCACACTCACATTAACCTATAAAGAGAACTCAACGATACGATGATGCGCTATGCCCCCACTACACGACCAATCTTACGTCTGCTTAACGAAAAAAAATAATTCCGAACACTGACTACTACACGCACCTCATGACACACAAACACACTCAAGTCCATGATACATGTGGCCGTGGAAGCATCGATTGTGTGATAACAGTCCGTCGTTTATAAGTATATTCATGATTTTCCTCCTTAATATCTTGTGATGGTACTTCTAATCGCATAAATTACCCATAGATTCATCTATCCGAATTAATTCTTGAGACCTTCACCACGGGCTGCGCTCACAGGGAGAAATGATGTTAAACCTGCTTCCTTATCCAATCTGGTACACGAATTCATTAATCTCCCGTGAGAAGCACGTCCCGTCGCGCACCTTATTCCAAGCCATCTCTTAATTATACAATATCGTTGATTAATCTATGAATGCTTATTTGTGCCTTTAGAAATAATATTTTGTTATTTTTGTTTGTCTTTCACATGAATACCGTGGCATAATCTTAAGGACTTTATTCATATTTTCTCTTCGTGTTACGCTGCATAATAATTAATTGCCCTGTTACCAACGTGATAAGGGTTGCATATGATCAATAAGGAGTGTGGTACAGCGTGAACAATTCAAGTATAATCATTTGTTATTAAGTTAAGGTTTTTGTTAGAATAGCGTTCGCATGTTTTAATGACTCTCTCTCACTAACAATAATTGCGTTATGCGGGATCCATGTGCCGTTATCAAAGTGAAATCGTACAGTCGTTGATGATACTGTAGTGTACCGTGTTGACGTTCCGAGATTGAGAGTTCACATACTATATTGTAGTTAAGGTTTAATTATAAATAAATGTATTAATACAGAAGTGGTCGTGTGATTATTTCCTGAAATTTTTGCATAAGATCTGTATCCTGCGATGAGATGAACCTGGGAACCTAAAATATAAATACACTAATCCACCCAATAAACGTTAAAGCGAGAATCATTGTATTATACTGATCGATAATACGAGGGGAGACAATGAAGCCGAGGTGACACTAGCATAACTGCATACGATTGATTGCATTATCCCGATTGATAACACCACCTCGTCAACGAGGCAGGGCCTGATTATCATAAAGGCTATCATTAACATAACCACACCCACTCGTACAAATTAATACGATTACCTCTCGAATTAGCATAATTTATACGGATAATTACACGAATTAACATAATTTCGGATAAATTTTGCAAACTTCAAATTTCATTTAATTTTCATTATTTTCATCAAATTTCATAACACCCACATATACAACAAACCCTCTACACCTATGAACAAAACACCCGGACTTGGAATGCGCCCAATCTGGTAGGACCTCGTAAGCCAAGCAGATCTCAGCTTGGACAGTGGCCAGAATGGGTGGCTGGAATGAGTGGCCACCATGCACAAACAGGTTGTCATAGGGCTGCGAGGCGACGTGTATATATCGAGTTGTACTGTACGTCTATGCTGCTTGCCTTTACCAAACCGCACTGACCAGTCGGGGTGAAGTATGGTCAAACGGCCTCCACAACCAGCACGGTGTGGGGAGGCCCTCATCCAGCAGTGGATTGACAAAAGGTCTCAACATTTATATGCCTCTACAGGCATTGTGCAGCGCTCATCCCCACCAGTGGAAATTCCAGAATCCCGTGGCAGGGACCATCTTTAATAACCACTGACGACTTTGCACAAAGTGGTAGCTATTTTATGACCCTGTAGAGATGATAGTGATGGTTTGCCTATGTCAATCCTTGACCCTACAATAAATGAAAGCATGTACATTCCTCGACAACAGTCAACGTTATGAAAGGTTAATAGCACGCAACACAGCTATTACAAGTAGAATAACGATCACCTCGATTGAAAAGTAGTGAAATGACATATAGAACACGATACGTATAACGCGTTTAATTGCCAAATTTGCGATCATTAAGTACTGTACTGTATGAAAGCCGGTAAGACACATATACAGTGAGGGAAAAAAGTATTTGATCCCCTGCTGATTTTGTACGTTTGCCCACTGACAAAGAAATGATCAGTCTATAATTTTAATGGTAGGTTTATTTGAACAGTGAGAGACAATAACAACAACAAAATCCAGAAAAACGCATGTCAAAAATGTTATAAATTGATTTGCATTTTAATGAGGAAAATAAGTATTTGACCCCCTCTCAATCAGAAAGATTTCTGGCTCCCAGGTGTCCTTTATACAGGTAACGAGCTGAGATTAGGAGCACACTCTTAAATTGTGCTCCGTCACTGTAGACTGCAATGCTATAACAATGCACACATATGCATAGTAGTGCATATCGCGACACCGTATTCAACGTGCACAGATTTTGCACTTTAATTCAAGCATTTATATCAACAACCATAATTAGAACATTTTGGCAATGATAATATGGATAACATTACGGCATTTCATCGTAAAACATGATCACGGTTTTCACCTGCTCACTCAACTTGAGCATAACCATGTTGCCCTCCGCACGTCGGAACGGGCGTGACAAAGCAAACAAAAACATTATTTATGACTTATAACTGTAATTATTTTAACAATAGGAATAGTATTAATTGTTATCATTGTAATTGTTGGTTTTGCACGAAGGAAGAGGGAAGCACAGCGGCCGCTCCGGCGCCATGACGAGCGGCGATGTAAGCGCGCCTCTCATTGGTCAGAGACTAACCAACAAAAGCTGCTCTGATTACCCAAGACGGAGTAGAATGTAGGCATATTAGATATTAAAATGACGTAAAAAACACGAATAGGCCCACGATTGGCGGGACCTGGACTGGTTTTATAATGAAATCTTTAATTCTCACGTGAGACGACTTTGTGTAGAAAATGTCAGCTCGTTCGGCTTCGTTGATCCGAAGATATTAAGTGTCAAATATTTTAAAGAATATAAACAGACAACACGGCAAGTTCAATAAAAGTGTGTAAAAACAACAGCGCAGGGCTATTGTGACGCACGCACCCACTCTATCTTCTACAATTCTTGGCGGCCAAACAACACAAATCATTTCCCACCACCACTCCACCACCTCCATCCACCCTCCATCTCATCCTCCAAAGACAAAACCCCCCATATAGCCTTCACAGACTTGTGGCAAGTGCTGTTAGCGAGCACCTATAAAAACCGGCATGGCACACGAGTGGGTGGGTGGCCAGCACCACACCCGGCCGCCTTTTTCTCCCTCGTGGCGATGTTTACACACCACACCAGGTGCTCATTTGAGGATGAGTCGACCTAAGGGAGGCCCAGAACCAGTTCACATAATTGTAACTGGTGTTGGCCGTGAGCAAGTATCGAACTAAAGTCCTGGGGTTCGTAGCGCAGCGCGCGGAACTGCTAGAATACCGCTACCACATCCTCCACGCTACCTTTCACCCCATCCAGTGCTAAATTAGAACCCTTGTGATGCCGGATTCACCACGCTGGCTGTGGCAGCACGTCGCACTAGCCGGCGGTGGTGCAGCTCCTGTGAATCGTTGAGCCAGGGCGGCGGGGGGGGGGGGTGCACAGTGGCCGATCGTTGTTTTAGCCCTGGAGTTGAGGCATTGGACAAAACGCGCGAGTGTCTGTGACGCTTTTCTCGAGACTTTGACCGAGTGCGTGGGGCAGGGGTTAAGTGCTTTTACTGCCGCCTTTCCAACGAAACTGCACGACAGCGAAAACAAATTACACGTTGGGTTCGGTAATGGCCTTTTGTGAGTGGAGTGAATGAGGACCAGGGCTTGAAATTCCACTTTACAGCTATCAGGTATTTCCACTGAATAGGTGGTGCATGTTGATGAGGGTAGGTTGGTACGTAATTGTAATCCAGTGCTTTGGAGACAAGGGTTGGTGGATCATAGAGGACTGTGACCTTCACAAACCTGCTGGTGTACTGATAGACGGATCGCACCCATACAAGTTTCAAGTTTATTTTGATTGAGTCAAGAGACGAGGATCGTCTTTTTTGCAATAGTAAACCGGATCGCTAAAATTCAAGAGGAAAAACATACTGGAAAACAAGTACAATGATGAAGCAAATGGAAATCAGACCTAATAATTACAGTCGTAATTTTTATTCATAATTACAGTCGTAATTATTTCAAATAAAATCCCTGCTTTCACACCACCGACAACGCAGTTCCTTCAAATTTCCGTGAAGTTCACGGAGGAGTGCCGGGAGGGTGTAGCAGGGTGGGGGGGACAGGGGAAGTGTGATGTCCCGTGAGAGTTACTCCTCCAGACGTGTCGCCGTGTTTTGTTTTTGCTGCTCAACGTGGACGCCTGACCATGCCGCCCTGACAGACGTGAGCTACGCGCAGGGCATGAACGACTTGCTGAGCCGCTTCCTGGAGGTGTTTGACTCGGAGGTGGATGCCTACTGGTGCTTCTGCGCCTTCATGTCGCACATCTCCTACAGCTTCACTGGTGACGGCATGCTCCACAAAATCAGTGAGGCCCGTTCCGAAAAATCAGTAAGGCTATCTGTTCCGTAAAATCTGTAACGTCGTCTGTTCTACAAAATCAGCAAGACCCTCTGTTCCACAAAATCAGTGAGGCCCTCTGTTCCACAAAATCAGTGAGGCCATCTGTTCCACAAAATCTGTGAGGCCATCTGCTTGACAAAATCAGTGAGGCCCTCTGTTCCACACAATCTGAGGACATCTGCTTGACAAAATCGGTGAGGCCCTCCGTTCCACAAAATTAGTGAGGCTCTCTATTCAAAAAAATGTGTAAGGCCCTGTGTTCACCAAAGTCAGTGAGCCTCTCTGCTCGACAAAATCTGTGAGGCCATTTGCTCCACAAAATCACTGAGGTCCTCTGTTCCACAAAGTCAGTGAGGCAAATCTGTTCCACAACATCAGTGGGGCACTCTGTTGCACAAAATCAGTGAGGCCGTCTGTTCCACCAAATCTATGAGGACATCTGCTTCACAAAATCGGTGAGGCCCTCTGTTCCACAAAATTTGTGAGGCCCTCTGTTCATAAAAGTCAGCGAGCCCCTCTGCTCCACAAATTCAGCGAGGCCCTCTTCCACAACATCTGTGAGACCCTCTGTTCCACAAAATTAGTGAGGCCCTCTGTTCCACAAAATTTGTGAGGCCCTCTGTTCATAAAAGTCAGCGAGCCCCTCTGCTCCACAAAATCTGTGAGGCCCTTTGCTCCACAAAATCACTGAGGTCCTCTATTCCACAAAATCAGTGAGGCCATCTGTTCCACAACATCAGTGGGGCACTCTGTTCCACAAAATCTGTGAAGCCCTCTGTTCCACGAAATCTGTGAGTCCCTCTGCTCCACAAAATCAGTGAGACCCTCTTCCAGAAAATCAGTGAAGCCCTCTATTCCACAAAATTAGTGAGGCACTCTGTTCCACAAAATCTGAGTCCCTCTGCTCCACAAATTCAGCGAGGCCCTCTTCCACAACATCTGTGAGACCCTCTTCCATAAAATTAGTGAGGCCCCCTGTTCCACAAAATTTGTGAGGCCCTCTGTTCATAAAAGTCAGCGAGCCCCTCTGCTCCACAAAATCTGAGGCCCTTTGCTCCACAGAATCAGTGAGATCCTCTGTTCCACAAAATCAGTGAGGCCATCTGTTCCACAACATCAGTGGAGTACTCTGTTCCACAAAATGTGTGAGGCCCTCTGCTCCTCAAAATATGTGAGACCCTCTGCTCCACGTAATCATTGCGGCCCTCTGTTTCCCAAAATCAGTGAGGTCCTCTGTTCCACAAAACCAGCGAGGCCCTCTGTTACACCAAATCAGTGGGGCCATCTGATCCACAAAATCAGTAAGGCCCGTTGCGCAACAAAATCTGTGAAGCCCTCTGCTCCACAAAATCAGTGAGGCCCTCTGTTGCTCAAAATCTGAGGCCGTCTCCTCCACAAAATCAGTGAGACACTCTGTTCCACAAAGTGTGTGAGGCCTTCTGCTCCACAAAATCAGCAAGGCCCTTTGTTCCACAAAATCAATGAGGCCATTTGTTCCACAATCTCAGTAATGCTCTCTGCTCCACAAAATCTGTGAATCCCTCTGTTCCAAAAAATGAGGAAGGGCCTCTGCTCCACAAAATATGTGCAACCCTCTCCTCCACATAAATAGTGGGGCCCTCTGTTCCACAAAATCTGTGAGTCCCTCTGTTCCACAAAATCTAATGAGGCCCTCTGCTCAACAAAATGAGTGGGCCCTCCATTCCACAACATAAGTAAAGCCCTTTGTTCCACAAAATACGTGAGGCCCTCTGTTCCACAATATCAGTGATGTCCTCTGTTCCACAAAATCAATGAAGCCCTCTGCTCCACAAAATATGTGAGGCCATCTGTTCCACAAAATCAGCGAGGCCCTCTTCCACAAATTCTGTGAGGCCCTCTGTTCCACAAAACCAGCGAGGCCCTCTGTTCAACAAAATCAGTGAGGCCCTCTCTTCCACAAAATCAGTGAGGCCCTTTGTTCCACAAAATCAATGAGGCCATTTGTTCCACAATCTCAGTAATGCCCTCTGCTCCATAAAATCAGTGAGTCCCTCTGTTCCAAAAAAGCAGCAAGGCCCTCTGCTCCATAAAATCAGTGAGACCCTCTGTTCCACAAAATCAGTGAGGCCCTCTGTTCCACAAAATCAGTGTGGCCATCTGATCCACAAAATCAGAAAGGCCTTTTGCGTGATAAAATATGTGAAGCCCTCTGCTCCACAAAATCAGTGAGGCCCTCTGCTCAACAAAATCTGTGAGACCATCTGTTCCACAAAATCAGCGAAGCCCTCTTCCACAAATTCTGTGAGGCCCTCTGTTACCAATAACCAGCGAGGCCCTCTGTTCCACAAAATCAGTGAGGCCCTCTGTTCCACAAAATCAGCGAAGCCCTTTGTTCCACAAATTCAATGAGGCCCTTTTTTCCACAATGTCGGTAATGCCCTCTGCTCCATAAAATCAGTGAGACCCAAAATCTGAGGCCCTTTGTTCCACAAAATCAGTGAGTCCCTCTGTTCCAAAAAATCTGGAAGGCCCTCTGCTCCATAAAATCAGTGAGGTCCTCTGCTCCACAAAATCAACGAGACCCTTTATTCCACAAAATCAATGAGCCCATTTGTTCCACAATCACAGTAATATCCTCTGCTCGGCAAATCAGTGAGTCCCTCTTCCAAAAATTCAGGAGGGCCCTCTGCTCCACGAAATATGTGCGACCCTCTCCTCCACATAATTAGTGGGGCCCTTTGTTCCATAAAATCAAGTAGGCCATTTGTTCCACAATCTCAGTAATGCGCTCTGCTCCACAAAATCAGTGAGTCCCTCTGTTCCAAAAAATCTGGAAGGCCCTCTGCTCCATAAAATCAGTGAGGTCCTCTGCTCCACAAAATCAACGAGACCCTTTATTCCACAAAATCAATGAGCCCATTTGTTCCACAATCACAGTAATGTCCTCTGCTCGGCAAATCAGTGAGTCCCTCTTCCAAAAATTCAGGAGGGCCCTCTGCTCCACGAAATATGTGCGACCCTCTCCTCCACATAATTAGTGGGGCCCTTTGTTCCATAAAATCAAGTAGGCCATTTGTTCTACAATCTCAGTAATGCGCTCTGCTCCACAAAATCAGTGAGTCCCTCTGTTCCAAAAAATCAGGAAGGCCCTCTGCTCCACAAAATATGTAGGACCCTCTCCACAAAATTAGTGGGGCCCTCTGTTCCACAAAATCTGCGAGGCCCTCTATTCCACAAAATATATTGAGGCCCTCTGTTCCACAAAATTTGCGCGGCCCACTTCTCTACAAAATCGGCCCTCTGCTCAACGAAATGAGTGAGCCCCTCCATTCCACAACATAATTGAAGCCCTTTGTTAAACAAAATATGTGAGGCCCTCTGTTCCACAAAATCAGTGATGTCCTCTGTTCCACAAAATCAATGAGGCCATTCGTTCCACAATCTCAGTAATGCCCTCTGCTCCACAAAATCTGTGAGACCATCTGTTCCACAAAAACAGCGAGGCCATCTTCCACGAATTCTGTGAGGCCCTCTGTTACAAAAAAACAGCGAGGCCCTCTGTTCCACAAAATCAGTGAGGGCCTTTGTTCCAAAAAATCAGCGAAGCCCTTTGTTCCACAAAATCAATGAGGCCATTTGTTCCACAATCTCAGTAATGCTCTCTGCTCCACAAAATCTGTGAGTCCCTCTGTTCCAAAACATGAGGAAGGGCCTCTGCTCCATAAAATATGTGCAACCCTCTCCTCCACATAAATAGTGGGGCCCTCTGTTCCACAAAATCTGTGAGTCCCTCTGTTCCACAAAATCTAATGAGGCCCTCTGCTCAACAAAATGAGTGGGCCCTCCATTCCACAACATAAGTAAAGCCCTTTGTTCCACAAAATACGTGAGGCCCTCTGTTCCACAATATCAGTGATGTCCTCTGTTCCACAAAATCAATGAAGCCCTCTGCTCCACAAAATATGTGAGGCCATCTGTTCCACAAAATCAGCGAGGCCCTCTTCCACAAATTCTGTGAGGCCCTCTGTTCCACAAAACCAGCGAGGCCCTCTGTTCAACAAAATCAGTGAGGCCCTCTCTTCCACAAAATCAGTGAGGCCCTTTGTTCCACAAAATCAATGAGGCCATTTGTTCCACAATCTCAGTAATGCCCTCTGCTCCATAAAATCAGTGAGTCCCTCTGTTCCAAAAAAGCAGCAAGGCCCTCTGCTCCATAAAATCAGTGAGACCCTCTGTTCCACAAAATCAGTGAGGCCCTCTGTTCCACAAAATCAGTGAGGCCATCTGATCCACAAAATCAGAAAGGCCTTTTGCGTGATAAAATATGTGAAGCCCTCTGCTCCACAAAATCAGTGAGGCCCTCTGCTCAACAAAATCTGTGAGACCATCTGTTCCACAAAATCAGCGAAGCCCTCTTCCACAAATTCTGTGAGGCCCTCTGTTACCAATAACCAGCGAGGCCCTCTGTTCCACAAAATCAGTGAGGCCCTCTGTTCCACAAAATCAGCGAAGCCCTTTGTTCCACAAATTCAATGAGGCCCTTTTTTCCACAATGTCGGTAATGCCCTCTGCTCCATAAAATCAGTGAGACCCAAAATCTGAGGCCCTTTGTTCCACAAAATCAGTGAGTCCCTCTGTTCCAAAAAATCTGGAAGGCCCTCTGCTCCATAAAATCAGTGAGGTCCTCTGCTCCACAAAATCAACGAGACCCTTTATTCCACAAAATCAATGAGCCCATTTGTTCCACAATCACAGTAATATCCTCTGCTCGGCAAATCAGTGAGTCCCTCTTCCAAAAATTCAGGAGGGCCCTCTGCTCCACGAAATATGTGCGACCCTCTCCTCCACATAATTAGTGGGGCCCTTTGTTCCATAAAATCAAGTAGGCCATTTGTTCCACAATCTCAGTAATGCGCTCTGCTCCACAAAATCAGTGAGTCCCTCTGTTCCAAAAAATCTGGAAGGCCCTCTGCTCCATAAAAT